TTCCATATAAGCAAATTTTGTGAAATAAATTTTTATTTAGATTTTTGGTTCAAATTTTCGTGCGAAATGAATGTTAATGCTAGACCATACGCTTGAAATTGTTTCACTTCAATGTATCGTCAAACTAGAATCATCTTAGAGATCCATTTTGTCATTAGACAAAAATAATATAATTATATATAAATATTTTAATTTAAACTATTCATATAAAGAAAGTTATTATTAATTTGCAACAATTAATCTTTATTGACTACATAGTGAAAATATTGCAAAAGTATTGCTTTAACGCTTACAACCTAAACGAAACTTTAGTGCATGCAATTTACATTAAAACCAGTGATTGCTCTCAAAATTGTAATAGAATTTTTTCGGTCTTAATATTGTAAAGAAAGTCTAAAAAGTAACAAGTGTGCAACTACGATTCTACTAAAAAAATGTAAGGTACAAAAATGTACCGCAAGTATTGCTTAAAATTTATACTGGAACTGTTTGTACGGCTTTTGCAGGTTGGATGGTATCGATTTGCTGACATTTTCACATGGCGATTCGGTTTGGCTGAGAAACAGCGTAAGAAACTGTTCATTTTGCAATTCGCTCAATGGCATTTCCAATTCACTACATGATTTGACGATTTCAGCACAAGCTCGTAAATCTTTACGTTGATCTAAAAAAAGATACATATAATTTTTATTGCAATATAAAATTAACTACTGCATTATTTGCTCTTACATTGATAATTGAATAACAAACTGAGGCACTCAGCGCAGGCAGCGTCTTGTTTGTATTGTAAAAAAGCCTCAATTAATCGATGCACTGCATCAATATTGTGACGATTTAAAAAAGATGAGCACAAAGAAGCGGATCTTAAATAAAGATAAATATATTAGTAAATATATTATGTCAACTTATTTCAGTCTTACCTTCTACCCACTAGTTGCTGCAACTCTTTATAGTGCTCGAAGAGATCCGCCGCAGACTTTTGGTCACAAAACCAATTACTTGCAAAACATTGTTTCCATACACAAGCAACTATAAAAATATCTCTATGTTCGTCGTAAATTGAGCGTGCAACGTCCATCAGTTTAACCAAAACTGCTTCACTTTTCTTGGTTAATGTTTCTTCAGCTATGTTTCGAAAAACATTTCGTATCATACGTCTGCCCTCTTCGAAATCTACAGTGTCTCTGTAACCAAGATGCAAAGTAGCTATTGCAGTATCGGAACTGCCGCTTCGCCACATGGCCATCGCTTTGAATGCCGCAAAACCGGCATAAACTTTCACGAGCGGATGACCCGTTTCACTGCAAATTTCTTCAAATGCTTCTATTTGTTGCAATCGACAAAGTGTACTGAGGTATCTTAGGCAATTAAGCAACACTTCAGCTGAAGGTAGTTGTTTCCAACGTATGCACTGACGTATGAGGTAAAGAAAATCTATTTTATTCTTAATTTCCAACGTTGATGTTAATAAATTGTCTAATTGGGCCTGAGACAGTATTCGTATATCCAAGCCAAGTTGAGGTGAGCGTAGTGTCTCAAAATCACTAATGACACCTTTTGACATTAGACCAATAGTCTGACTGAAACTGGTTGTACTTGCGCTTGTGTCACATTTTTTATTCTTCATAACATTTTCTCGCATTTCCTCCCATTTTTTTGTTTTACTATGCACTAGGTCGTTGGTAAAACAATCTATTGCATCTAGCTGATTGGATTTGCACTTCCTTTGTTGTGATTGTAGGGATGGCCATAGAAAAGCAATGCAGTTTTGAAAACGTTGCAAGGCTTTTGGTGAACCCGGCGTAGCCACAGACGTACCACTGCTGGTTAGGCGAGTTAACATCGCCATTGCAGGAATGACTTTCCCTCTTTACTATACCTTATCGTTTTTTAAAACATTTTCTATATGAGATATCACAATATCTTAAACATCGATTTATCTTCAGCTCCCAACAGCTGATTGGAAATGTTCGCAGGGTTGCATTTACATACGAATCCTGGGTTGCAATTCTAGTTGACTTGAAATTAAAACATAAACCACAACGGCCTTGTGCGAGTTCGAGTAAATTGAGGGAAATAGTAAATTATGTCGGTATGGCAGTGAATGTTGGTATTTACCAGAATTTCGAGTAGGGTAAATTAAGTATTACCATTGTGAAGATAAGATAAGATATTTAACATATAAACAAATAAATTTGAAAAAATTGAACTAAAAATAATAAATAACTGAAATTCTTTGGACACAACTATTCAAAATTTCCTCTCAGTTTCTTTTCTTCATTTTCTTTGGCTGAGCTATGCACAAGGGCACTGATGAAACGGTCAAGAAATAATTAATAAACATTAATATATATTTATAAAATATATATTACCAATATTCAATTCGTCATGTTTTTGGTTCTGTTATCGGTGGCTTGCAAGTGTGGCAAAAAAGAACAAGTTGCTGGTCTATACGGACCGAAATTTACAGAAAACAACTGAAGTATTTTCTTCATCTAGGCCAGTCGTAAAGAATAAAGTGTTACCAACGTAATAACGGAACTATTGTAAACCTTCATTGGAAATTCCAACGAATATTGCAATCATATGTCAAAAAACATGTGTAAACAAAAATATGAAAATTGGGACAAAAGAAAAAGTTTCAGTGTTTTATGTTGAAATTTCCAACATTTGTACCATTTCTTTTAATTTTGTATTCATTTTAATTTTCATTTATTTATTTTTATACAAAAAGTAATTTGGTTGTATTATGTACACATATGCAAGATTTGCTATTTGCCAAAACATAACACTTGACAGATTGCAACAGTGATGCCAAAGTTTCGCTTAGCGAATATAGCAAAGCATACATTTTTTGCCAGTATGACAGCGAATGTTACTATTTACCAGAATTTCAAAAAGGGTAAATTAGATAAAAATTAGATAAATTAGGTGTTATCATTGTGAAAATTTTAAAAGATGTTTAATAAATATATAAATAAATTTGTAAACTTCTAACCAAAAATAATAAATGGGTGCAATAAATAAATAAATAATTTTTCTATATAAATAATTTCCCTAGGAAACTTCAATTCGCTCTACCTCAATTTACTTGAACTCGCACACGGCTTAAGTGTTAATAGGTAAATTCAAAAATATTGGTTACATTGTGTAACTATTCAATACGTTATTCAATTTTTCAAGATGGCAACCCTGATTTGTGGACAATTCACATATAAACAGATGTATGGGATCACAACAAAGTGGGCAAGAGAGCGCTGATTGCATTTAAAAAAACATAAATAAATAACTCATAAAAAGTTAATTGTGTACGTTCACTACGTTGACTAATATGATTTCGTGTTAGTCTTTTGAAACTTCCAATCCAGTGTGATCGGTGCTTAAAGGCGCGATGGTTTGCTGTTGCTACTTCGTTTGGTCGGCGGTTCTTGCCGTATTGGCTGTGGTGATAAGTCGCCACAGTCGCTGGTTCTACATAGCTGGTGTGACGATAAAACGGGATTTGACGTGAGTGCCATTGTTCAATTGTTTTGTAATTTACGCTTACTAAAAAAAAAAAACGACTGTTTTAAATCTTATTTTGATATAATTTACAAGTATTCATACTCGCTTATTTTGATTTACTCAAGTACTGTAGTTTGCAATAATAATTGAAGTCTGTTAATCCAACGTTTTGTTTGATAAGCAAACCAAATAGTGTGACTAAGTGCTGATTATGAGAATATAATGGAAACTGTGACAAAATATGGAACAAACAGGTGCAGGCTTTACGGAATTGGTGGTCGTTGCACCTTTCAGAAGCAAATGAGCTTCAGAGAATTTTTAGAAATTTTGTACGAAAAAAGCACATTTCATTCCATTTTACACTTTTACAAAAGTGCAAAGTTGTTTTAAATATTACATAAATATAGATAATACATACTTAATTATAGCTTTTATTTACTGCAGAGTATTGTGCTTTTATGTACACAAGAGAAAGTGAAAAGATCAAGTGAAGTCAAACTGCTTTTCCTTGCGTTCATTATTAATTCGTTAAGTACTTGATTAAGTGCTTGCGATGAGTTACTCGTCACAAGGGCCCCGTATATGGAAGCTTAAATTAATTACTTAACATACCAGATTAAGAAATGTTCAAAGTTCAAACTTTTCAGTTTGAATTTTTGTTATAAATAATAGAAATATTTCAATCACTGAAAACTATTCTAAATCAAAGTCCAAAATTTAAGTACTCTTCTGCCTAAAATAATTGCGGCCTACAATCAAAGGGCGATCTCAACTGGGACCTATCGAAATCAGTCCCGCGTAAGAAAATCAGTGAGTGTGACAAAACGTCAATAGTTTTTATTATTTTCAGTATTGTAAGTTTTTCACAATGTCCCATTAGAACATCTGAACTTAAAATGTAATATGCTTTTCTATTTAATATTATTTAAATACGCAGACAATGAAGTGGATTTTAACCTTCGCATATGTTCAAATATTGCATGTCGGATAAATAATGTAAAACGACTGCTGAATATCTATAAGCAAAATCATTCCAAGTATTGTCGTACTTGGATACATGCTCATTAATGCGTATATTTGCTCGCTTCATTCATAGTTCAAATAATGAATAAATATGCAGTTGTATTCCATTCGCAGCCCCGTGTTTCCATCCACGCTGTAATAATAGCTAGAAATTAATAATAATGACGATCTCTTTTAGAGAAACTCATTTTTAATTGATTTGTTTTCACGTGGACACCATAAATTCGATACAAATTTAAAATATTTTTTAAATAAATTTATTTAATTTTAAAAGATTTTGGTTTACCGTTTAATTTATATTGAGAATTAAATATTCTTTGATTAAAATTCCACTATAAAACTATAGACATAGAATGGTAAGGTATCCTTCTTCAGCAGAACAGAGTTGAGGCTGCTGGTGGGATATTTAACGGGTCACAATGGATTGCGTTATCAGATTAATAAAATGAGTCTGTCCGAAAAGATAGATTGTCGACTCTGCTTAGAAGCAGACGAGACTTCCAGTCACATCACATGATAGAGAAAGTGAAAGCAAAAGGGAGAATAAGTATTGGAAGATTAGCTAAGTGAAAGGAAGATCCTTGAAGCATTTTTTGGTTACTGTTGAATTGTATAAAAGTGTAGCAATTGAGAGTTGAACCTAGAGTTGAGTTAGATACAATTTATCACATCATGAAGAGACTAAGTTAAGGTTAGATAAAAAATGTAATAAGTATCACTGTTAAGGATGGCGCGGTTTGGTGACTATCCAGTGCGATAGAAATGTATAGACGTAATAATATTTTTTCATTCAGCCTTTTTAATTCTAATTACACCAAACTTAAGAGAACTACTATATATGGGAGTAATAAGTGATTATTAATAATATATTTGTCGCATAAAATTACTATATACAGAAAATGGTTACTGTTGTTGTAGTCCAGAGGGATCTATAAAGCAGATAACATGAAATGAATTACAAAGCCATATACATAGGTATTTATGGATTGAGAAACTGAAGGGATTGTTTGGCAGTAATAATGGATTAAAGATGGGCGAAATTTAAATTGAAGTCAAACAGGATCAAGTCAAAACAACCCAATAAATATTTTTTTTAACCCAATGAATAAGACAGTAAGTTAGTTATTTATTGCATTTTCTAAACTTCACATTTTGCTGCAAACGTGTTCTTAAGCCCACAACACATCATCTGGTGAAATAATGTAATTAAAATTGCTAAACTTATTTTTTTTAGTGTGAATATTTCTAGTGTTTCTTTAGAAGATAAAAAAATTCATAGCGATATCGTTTTAGGCTACTGATAGTGTTGAAGAAGGCATGACATGTATCTCTGAATGCCTGAAAACAGAAAGTAATAAAATAATTTAATATCAAAAGTGTGCAAATTTTATAGCGGTACGATGATATACAGACGATTTGAGAAAATTGTATAAAAGATCTACGTCCTCAATAGACCTAACAGTCTATGTCAGCTGATAGCTGACATGTATTTTTAAGTAATTTACAATGAAGGGGTTTTTTTCGAAAAGAAGTGAACTATAGCAAAAAAAATTCTTTTTCATATTATTTTAATTAATTGCATTTTTAGCTTCCTATACAGCTGTTTCGAGTATTGCCAAATACCCTTCATCACTAGTCTTCGAAATACTTTGTATTTAATTATTCGTAAATATTTTTTTGAGACTGCAAGTATCAGGAATCGAATTCGTGCCCTGCCAAATTTGAAGTTCAGAGTCAGCGTACCTTAAAAAACTGACCCAAAGCCCTACTTGACTTTTATGTTCGTACATTTTTCTGGAGTTTTGTTAATTTGTTGTAAGAGTTTTTTTAACAAATTCACTTAATGTGTTTATAATAGAACGAAATCATAAACCAGCTGTAGAATAATTGAATTTATTAATTATATTTTTATTTTTAATTGTTAAATTTCAATACTATTCTGTTTGTAGAGGCATTATTTATTGCATGATTTACATAACTTACAATATATATATAATTGTAGTCATGATATTTTATCATTTTATAGTAAGATCGTAATTTAAGAACCATACTATATCCTTTAGATATAAACCGGGATTAGGTGATTAAATATAGAAAATTAAATTTTTACATCTTTCGACACAACAGTTTTCTATAAACCAAAGCAAATATATCCCTTTTGCTATTATTTTCAGTAAGTTAATAAGTCCCCATTGTTATATTTATTAAGAAATAATTATATCACGTGTACGTCAAAATTGGCTCTTCTGGGCTATGACGAAAATGCATGTTATGCAGAGTGTCACATCAGTTTTTCAATTTCGTATTTCTACTATAACTTTTGTTCTTTTTGATTGTGCTTAAATTTTAAATGAAAAATATACATAAATATGTTACGTACAACACGGCTTTCACTGATTGACGAGGCACAGATAGCCTCGGCTCT